CCTCCCCGCCCCTCCCCACCCGGCCCCTGCTGTGAGGCCCCGGACTGTCGGATCTCAATTGCACCCCGGCTTTGTCCCTTACAAGGGGTGTGGTCGCGGCGGGCTCCAGGCGCTTGCGCAGCCTGCCTGCCCATTTACGAGGTGGGGTCCTTCTCTCCTCCCGTGCTGACGCTGACCTAGTGGGATTCCCCTTCCTCTTTCATGCACTTGCTCAGAACCTTCTCCTCTGGCCACCTTTTGGTCTTCTGCTTCTCCAAATCTCTCTTCTTTCTCTGTTGGATCCAAAACTATCCAAGGGTTTTATTGTGATTTCCCCAAGTCACTGAGCTCCTTCCAGGGAGGGCTGGGTCCTGTGTTGCACACATGTCCCGTGTGGTGCCCAGCCCAGGGTGGCCGCACAGTGACATCCAGGATGTGCCCGGTGATTTCAGTTTCCTTTCTTGAGGGTGGAAGCAAAAGGACTGTTGAACCACCATGTGGAACTCCGAGAAGCCGGGCCAGGACATCCTCAGAGCCCCACGCCCGGGTCTGTGCTGGGTCAGATGGGCTACCTGGTGCGCTCCGAGCTGGCGGGAGGCCCGCCAGCCACCTGTCCGGGGCGGATGATTCTTTTGTTTTTTGGGGTTTTTTAAGGTTTTTTTTTTTTTTTAAGATTTTACTTGAGAAAGAATGAGAGAGAGAGAGAGCAAGGAGGGGGGAGGGCCAGAGGGAGAAGCAGACTCCCTGCTAAGCAGGGAGCCCAATGTGGGACTCGATCCCAGGACCCTGGGATCATGACCTGAGCTGAAGGCAGACGCTAAACCGACCAAGCCACCCAGGCGCCCCCCGGGATGGATGTTTCTGACCCGTCCAGTGGCCTTGCTGAGATGCCCACCTGCCTGGGTGCCTGTGGGCCCTTTGGCACATGGGGCTGTCCATGCTGGTGGCTGCAGGCCTTGCCAAGCCGGCCAGGAGGCACGGTCTGACTTCTGTTAGGAGGTGCAGCTGCCGGCCTGGGAGGGCCACGGGGGCCTTTTGGAGTGACCAGCCTCCTTCCACACCCTGCTCCCTGGGATAGTGGTTTTTGCCCTAGAGCTGAGGTCCTGTTGGAGACCCTTCCGTGAGGAAGAGTGAGGCCCTCCTCTTGCTATCTCCTTCTCAGTTTTCTGGAGCACATGGCCCCAGCTCTACCACAGTCCTGCGGGCTGTCCCCGTGGCCACATGGACCATGTGCTCCGAGCTCTTCACTCCTGTGTGTCTCCCTGCACAATTTGCAGGGGCTTGAGCACTGTCCCCAACCCTGAGGAAGAGCTGGGAGAGGCAGATGGGCTCACATGGTGTTACAGGGGCAGGAGGTGGGATTCTGACCTGTGTGGGCTCCTGGGGCCGTACCCTTGAGCTGAGAGGAGGAGAGTAATGACCCCAGGGAAGGGGAGTGACCTGGGTTCCAAACACAGCTGCTGGTCTTTCCCGGCTCAACTCCTGGGGGCTCTCCTCTCCATAAGGCCCCTCACTGGGGGCGGGGGAGGGGGGCCTGGGCCATATGCTGCCTGGTGGGCTGTGTGTGCAGGTGGAAGCAGGTCCCGCAGCCCGTGACTCATACGGGGGCCCCTCCCGGGGGTCCTCAAGCTGCACCAAAGCCTCTGCCCTGATGGGCCCCTCCTGGCAGAGCAGGTGGCAGGCGGCATGCCCAGACTGCCCGAGCCTGGGCGACTGGCTTTCTCACGGGTGGACACTATGGCCAGGAGGCTCCGGCATGTGGTTTCAAGCATGGGTTTGCTTAGTGCCGTGGAGAGGTGGGTGGTCTTTCATGAGACTCGATTGCCAGGATCCCCTGTGTGTCTTCTAGAGCACCCAGCCCACATGTGCTCCCTCCCAGACTTGAGCTTTGTGTGTGCAGAACACTTGCTGGGGAGAGTGGTGAGGCTACCCGCCAGGCAGGGGCCAACCCTCAGAGCTCCTCGGGCAGCTCTGTGCCTCCCAGAGAGGCCGACTGGTCAAGGGCGCCCACACATCTTGTCCTCCCCCAAGGCCTCTGAATTGTGTGGCCAGTAGCCAGGCGGTGCCAGGGCAGGGGGCCTGCCCATGGAGTGGAGCTGTTTAGGGTGGAGGAAGGTAAAGTTGATCAGACCTGCCCCAGAAAGAGCAGAAGACCGAGAGTGTCCGTCAGTCCATCAGTGGTGGGCTCTCTGTGAATGGGACTGGGTCAGAGCTGGCCATTTTCAAGAACTGCCGGTAATTGAAACTGTGTTTTGGGATTTCCATGAAGAGAACTGATTTTGATTATAGGTCAGGGAACAGGCACTCAGAGGCATTTGGGGCGCTAACTAGGACAAGGGTTGCGTCTGGAAGTAGGGAAGGCACCACGTGCTGTCCCCACGGCCGAGGCCGCTCCCCAGACCTCCAGCTCCACACCCACGGCAGTGCCCGTCTGTGTGGAGGGCGCCGTAGGGCACGTGGTCAGTGGAGGACATGCTGTGTGTCTGGCGGGGTGGCAGGTCTGGTTTGGTGACCCTGTCCCTTTGGCCCTCGGCATGTCCACTGGGCCTGTGTCCCCTTCCCCAGGCACGTGGTGTGAGCGGTTCCACTGTGGCCTTTGTCAGGGTTCTCAAAACTTCTGGGTGATTCTGAAGGGCAGCCAGTCCCACGGGGCAGCTCATGGTCCCAGGGCTTCTGAGTGGCTGGTGTGGAAGTGGCAGATCCTGTAGGGCCCGGGTGACAGTGTCCCGTTTTTATTTCATTTGTCCCCAGCCCTGGTCCAGCTCTGACTAGAATAGGACTGAGCACAGACAGGAGACCTCACCCTTCAAGGGGGTCATGACTGATAGAAAATCCAGGGATGCACGTTGGGGGTGAGGTGGGCTGGGGTCACAGGGAAGCAGTGTGTCCCTCCCAAACTGTATGTGGGCTCCATATGCTGAGAGAGGGGCTGCCGATACCCAAGTGTTTCAAGGCCCCAGAGGCAGAGGGGTGGAGCCCGGCCCAGGGTTACCTGGGTGTGGGCCAAACCTGCTTGCCCGAGCACAGTGGGCCGCGGCCGTCTGGGGTTCTCAGGCAACCTGGCCCTTGGAGCCCCTGATCCGGGCAGGGTCTGGCTGTTGGGAAGAGCAGCGGGTGCTGGGGGCCGGGGTTGCCGGGGTGCTCGGAGGTGCAGGGAGCGTCCGGCCAGCCCCAGGTCCCTCTTCTGTTCCCTCCTCCCAGGCCACGCAGCCCCGGATGGCTGGTTGTGCTGGAGGAGAGCGGTCCAGCGGGTTCCTGAGCCTCCTAAGAGGCCATGGGGCAGGCCTCCCCATGGTGGCAGTGGGCTCTCCTTGGGGCCTTCAGTCACTTTGCTTCCCCTCCCTGGGCTCGTGTGTTCCAGAAAGCACATGCATCCAGATCCCCAGTCTGAGAAAGGGGGAAATCTGTTTTATTTAAAGGGATGTGTAATTAACAAAACAAAAACAAAATAACCATAATTTAGATTTTCAAAAAAGGTCATGGCAGAAGCTGGTCCTGTTAATGTGTGGAGTTTGATGCGGTGCTGGTGGTTCGAGCCCTTTAGGTGCCTCTTGTTCTTGTTGTTTAAAAAGCTCTTCTACTCCGAAGGCGGTCTGTGAACAAGTCCACCAGGTGTGAGAAACTAGAGTCCACGGCGCCCTCCCGGAGCCTGTGTGTCCAGAGGTGGCATCGGGGGGCACGGCGTTCCCGGGGCGGCTGGGGGAGGACGACGTTCTGCCCCTTCGAGCCCGTCGGGCCACCTGGGCCGTCTCGGTTCCCACTTCTCCGGATGGAGCTGTGCATGGGCTGCGGCCTCGGCGCCGACTTGCACGGCCCGTGAGTGACTTGGGGCATCTTGGGGCGTCAGAGAGGCAGGAGTCGGGGGGCGGGTGTCGGGCGCACTCTCCTCGTCGTCTCACACCCAGGGCTGGCTGCGGGAAAATGTGAAAAAGCAGCCCTTGGTTTTAGTAATTTGTTGTAGTAATTTAATAGTTTTTAAATAATATATCTTATTCGAAGACACCTAGAGCGTTGCTTTGACCCGTGATCACCGTGAAAAGATTAGTGAGACGTGTCATGTTCTTTTCTGTTAAGTGTACAAAATCAGCCGTGGATTTTGAACTGCAGAACCTCCATGGCCACGGGAGGCAAGGGTGGCCGTGTGGGGCCGTGAAGGGCTGTGCCAGCGTGGGTGGTGTGGTTCAGCCCCTCCGCTTACCAGAGGACCCGAGACCCAGAGGCCTTTGCATCTCAGCAGGGGTCACCTGGCAAAGCGGGTGCTAAAACCCAGCCTCTGATTTCCTCCAGGCCCAAGGGGCAGAGCTCCCCCCAGCCCTGGGTGGTGTGGGTCTTTGAGGGCTGGCATGCTCCCTGGCAGCCACCCACCCAGGGCCTTGGCTCAGGTTTGCGGAGACCCATCCCCTTGGGTCTTGGGGACATGCTGATCTGTGGGCCTTAAGCCTTTGTCAGAGCATCTGGCCCACTAGTGAGGACCTAAGCAGCCCCCCGCTCTTTTCCTGGGCCTCTGGGCACATGGGACAGTGGGAGTGGAAGAGTCCTTGGGCAGGGCGTCTGCAGTTGGGGTCTGCTGGTCATAGACCCCCTTGCCGATCTAATGACAGCTCTGGACCCTTTTGCAAGAAAATGGGAACCCCAGGGCTCAAGGAGCTGAATGGCCAGCCCTCCCACCACATGCTTGTGGGCCAGATGGGGCAGTGGCCCCAGCCCTGAGTCTTGCTCAGGCCTCTCAGATTTAAATGAAATTTTAAGGGTTCTCCAATCCACTGAACTGCTGCCGTGGCCCTCCACCACGTCCATGGCACCCCGCCACGCCCACGTCCCCGGAGATGGAGGCTGGCTGAGGCTTCATCCGCTGAGCGGTGGCGGCGTTCCTGTTCTGTGCCTGGTGCGGGGTCCATCCCACCAGGGAGGGGACACGGGCCTGGTCAGCAGGTAGCCGGTCACCGGACGCGATGTGGGTGTCAGATTTTTGCCGTCCTTTCCTGAGCATCGCAGCCCGTGGGGGTTCCTTCGTTGTCTCCTGGGAATAATCGTTCCCAGCAGTGACAGCTGAGGGTCAAGAATTACGCTCTCATTCATGAGCTGCGGGGACCTGAAGGGGCAGCACCGGGTTCTTGAGAAACGTGGGAACGCCCCGCCGGGGCCATATCAGACGAGGGAAAGCAGAGTGCTCGTTTGTTCTTGGACACCCCTCCCCACTCTGAGTCACCGCTTGCCTCGGAGAGAAGACATATGTTCTGATCACTTTTGTCTTCTCGGATTACAGGGCTGTTCAGCCCAGGGTGACTAAGTGGGAGCATTCTGGGGTCTTAAATGCTCTCAGCTGGGTGTTTCTTTAGCGCGGTCACCATAGCACCACTGAGCCGGGAGCAGGAAAGGCGGCGGAGGGTGGGAGTGTGGAGCCAGCCACAGCGCCCCCCCGCCCGCCCGTCTGCGGCAGGGACAGGCTTGGGGCCATTTCCAGCAGCTCAGTCATGGGAGGTGCAGGGCCAGGCGGTGTTCTGTCCTCTGCACTTTTCCGGAGAGCTCCAGCACTCCTCCACGTTTGGGGTGTGGGTGTCCTTGCCCACAGAGCAAGCCAGCATGGCCCGGGCCCTGTGGGTGGGGCGTCCTCCACTCCCCGTCCCCCTCGAGGGGTGAAGTTCCTCAGTTGGTCCACGTTTCCAGGATCTGCCCAGTGAAGTTGTGGTCTCTCTCCGCAAGGAGCTGCATCCAGGAAAAGGAGGTCAGGAAAGCCGGCTGTCATTCCTCCACAGAAGTGGCAGCCCCGTGTCCCAGCTGGTGAGGGCAGTGCCCAGGCTGGGGTGCTCCGGGCAGCTGGATGGCCCGGGGGCCCGTGGTGGAAGCTGTCCGCTGCCCCTGGTCCTCACGCCCTACCCAGGGCCGGCTGCCCCAGGGCGTAGCTCAGAAGGCTCTCCCGCCTGCTCCCCAGGAGGCGTGGTCCCCGGGGGGTCGGGGTGCCCCCCCAGCTCCTGCCAGGGCCCTGCTCTCCACCTCAGTCCCGTTCCCCCCGAGACCTGCAGTGCTCCCAGCCGTTCTCGGAGCTTGTTTGAATAAATGGAAATCTTAAAAATAAAACACCACTCCCCCCTCCGCCCGCCCCCACCCCCGGCACGGGAGGCTGGCAGACCCTGCTAATGAGGCCAGCGCCCTGCCCCACACGGGCCCAGCGCTGCTTTCTCTCCACTCCTGGGAGCGGGGAGCGCTGCTGCGAAAGACATACCACAGCCTAAAAACCCAGAAACCACGTGCGGGTCGGACAGCGGGGCTGGCTCGGGAGCTGTGCGTGCTCAGGGTGAGCAGACCCAGGGGGCCCTGTGTCCCGGTTTCCGCCCTGTCCTGTGCTAACCGTTCACAGTGGCCCCTCTCCTTCAGAGTCCCCGCTAGGTGACAGTTGGTGTGGAGGCCAGCACTCTGGGCGAACTCCCATCTCCGTGCGTTAGCTCTCGCCCAGGCTTGCGGTCTCCACATGCCTGGCCCACCCCCAGCCCGCCTCCGTCCCGGGCCTGGCCACTGCTGAGTGGGTGGGGATGCTAGAGCAGCCCCCAGGGACGGGGACATGGTGGCACAAGGAGAGGGTGGATTTGGAGTCTCCCTGGGGGCTTAAACCCTCATCTTCTGGAACCTTGCAGGAACTTCTTCTTAGGGGGCTCTCGGGCACCGAGCTGAGCCAAGGAAGGCGCCCTTGCTGTGGGCCGCGTGTCCCTGACAAGGCCCCTGGGGAAGGGTGGGATGGTCATGGATCAGAGCACATCAGCACTGGGGCCCTGGGGGTGTGCATGCCCCTTCCAGGCCCTTCCATCCAGAGGGTGCTCTGTCCTGGGCCTCTGTGCTCTGCTGTCCTCCCAGGCGCCTCGTGGGGCTTGTGGGAGGGGGTGTGGGTGTGAACGGCCCCCTTGGCAGCCCCCTTCTTCCACAGCCACTGCTGGATTCCTCCCCATGAAGCTCAGCCTTGCCCACTGTGCCCTCCCCCCAGCCCCCAGGGGCACCGCCCGGCTCCAGGCGTGCTCACCCACTTCCTGGAGTAGCTGTAGGGCGGGGGAACCGTGCGGGGTGGGGGAGGCAGGGCTGAGGGAGCAGAGCAGAGAGGCCGCCAGGGGGGCCTCTTACTTGTGCCCAGACCTCTCTCCCAGGCTGGTGGGGCTTGCTCCCCAAGAGCCATCCTGGGTCCCCTCAGGCACACCGGTGGCGGAGCCCGCGGCTGCCCGGGAGGCCCGGGGCTTGCTCCTTGAGGCTGTGGCCTCGGTGTGGCTGCCGGCAGCGGGCGGGCTATTTGGAGCCCCTTTTAAGCTGCTGTCTCCAAGGGGGGCAGTGGAGCTCAGGGTGGTGAGGTGGGTGGTGTGCAGAGGCAGAGGGTGGGGCCCTGAGTTTTGGTGGCAGGGCGGGGCAGGCCTGGCCTTGGAGTAGTGTGGCTACTTCACGCTGGCTGAGCCCACGCGCTGGTGGCCAGTTGGGGACAAGCCACACCCACAGGCTGGTCCTTGGCCCTCCAGCTGAGCGCTGCCGGGCAGGGAGGCAGCAGGAACAGCCTGTTCTGCGCGCCTCCTCCTGGCGCCCACCTCCACTCAGCACCGCCCACCCACGCTGAGTCAGAGCCGGTGCGGGAGGTGCCCCTCGGGGCAGGGAAGACCCCAAGGCCACAAAGACCAGCCCCAGCAGCAGTGCCTCGCCGCGTGGGCAGTGGCCCCAGGTGCGGAGGGAAGCAGCCGCAAGGGGCTCCCTTCAGAAACGGCCAGGACCCCGCAGACCCCATCACACACACACTGACGGGGCTCTGCAGAGCCCCGCACTGTGTGTCCTGCCTCCCCGTGATGGCTGCCTACAGTCTTGAGGGTGCTTTGTTACCAAAAGTTTCCAGCCTGCAAAATCAGAATGTTCCAGCGTGCCCCAGCATCAAGCAGTGTCTCCTGCATTCTCTGCCCACCCCCGCAGGATTTGGGTGTGAATTAGTCATTCTCAAACACATCGTGCCGGGCGAGCTTTCCCGGTCCACCAGCAGGGTGGTTTCAGATGCCTGGAATCAGGATCCACGGGAGGTGCCACGATGCCACCAGGCCTCATAATCTGCCAGCATTGTCCACACGTGTGTGGCTGCTGGGGCAAGAGGGGGCAGGGGTCGGGGGACACGAGCTCCCAGGGGGACAGTGGCCCAGTGGGGCATGGGGTTGCCCTGCTGTCACTCTGCCCGTGCCCTCTTGGCCCAAGTGGGTGGTCACCAGGCCCCACCCGTGGGCCGGCCGGACGTGCGCTCCGCCCCTCGTGGGGCTGCCCAGAGCTGGGCGGGATCCTGTGTTGCCCTGTCAGCAGCTCGTGTGTGTCCCCCACGCTCTCCCCCGCCCCCCAGTACATCGATGCAATCAGCAACAAGCAGGGTGAGCTGGAGAACTACGTGTCGGACGGCTACAAGACGGCCCTGACCGAGGAGAGGAGGAGGTTCTGCTTCCTGGTGGAGAAGCAGTGCGCCGTGGCCAAGAACTCCGCTGCCTACCACTCCAAGGTGAGGTCTGCTGGCCGTGGGCCCTCGTGTCCCTGGTGGCCATCGGGGGCGTGTCCACTGTTGAGCTGTGTTGAAAGGAACACTGTGCATTTCAGATTCCCCCAGGGACAGCATTCTAGTAGGAGAGTCACTGGGCCAGACGCTGCAGACGTCTCGGAGACTTCGGTTAGAAATTGTTAGCGCTGTTTTGAGGACAGTGGCAGGAGGCTGGCTCCTCGGGGAGGGCTGCAGTGCCAGGGAGCCCCTCGTAGAGGGTCTGGAGGAGCCCCTGTTCAGAGTCCATAGTCGGGAGCTGGGGAGGGAGCAGATCTGTCCGCTGGAACGTTCCAGAACATTCCAAGAGCTCAGCAGATCCTTTTTCCATAAAGGGGTCTGCGGATCAGCGGGGTAAGTGCACGTTCACGCACGTGTGCTTGATGGGGCACATGCTCTGCAGTCCCCACGGTCTGGGCTGCGTAGGAGAGAGACGCCCTCCCTCCGCAGAGCGTCTCTGCCTCCCGGGCCTGCCTGAGGGCCCGCTCCCAGGTGCGAGGCAAGGACAGGGAAGGACCTGCGTCCCCTGTGGGAGCAGCCGCCGGGGAGCCACCGTGGAAGCAGCTGTGAGCTGCGGAGCGGGGGCGGCCGCACAGCCCGCACAGTTCCCAGCAGCGCTGCGGTGGGCGGCGGCGCCCTCTGGCGGCAGCCGGGCCCCACGGCAGGTCACAGGGAGGCTGCGGGCTCCTTGGTGCGGCAGGCGGCAGGGAGGGCAGGAAAGCCATTGTCACTGCGAGAGGTGAGAGCTGACCTCCCAGGGAGCTGGATGCAGCCCTCCCAGGCGGATCTAGAGAGGCCCAGGGCAGGACCCCCCCAGGCTCTTCCCTGCAGCAGGCCACCAGGCATCTCCCCGGCAGGTGGGTCCTAGCCCCAGCGACGCGGTTCATCACCAGGTGGGAGCCCTGGGTTGGCCGGTCAGCCCAGCTGTGGAGCCCTTCTGAGAGCCACACCCTGACCCTGCAGGTGCCCCCGTGTGGTGCTGGATCCTTGTGGCCTTGTCACCACCACCCAGACCTATCAACCAGTTATCTCAGCCAGGGTCCAGGTTAACATTTTGGGTTTGGGCCGTAGCACGCAGAAGCAGCCCCAGATGTGTGGAGGAGCAGATACAGCTGTGTTCCGATCAAACTTTGTTTACAAAACAGGCGGCCAGCGCCCGGGCCACGGTCTGCTGGCCCCTGGTCTCACCCAGCACGCAGTGGAGGGTGTGGCCTGCTCACAGGGCCTTTTTCTAGTCTCTTCCACATCTCCCACACAGATGCCCCCTCCGTGCCCAGACACAGGTCAGAGTGGGGAGAGGCAGTGAGGGCCGGACAGCCCCTTCGGAGGTCTCAGGGACAGTGATTGCCCCGAGCTAGGGAGCACTCCACCCAGGGGAGCTCCAGGCTCTGCAGTGGCACACGGGTGACCGCGTCTGCTACAGGTCAGGTAGACACTTTGGCCAAACAGGAGGGGGGGCGCAGCTGCCCCCAAGCCCTGGACAGGCCCATGAGGTGGGCGCCAGACCCCAGGTGGGCTGCAGGGAACCTCAGGCTGGCGCCCCACTCGGCTGTCCCTCATTCTGGGATTCCTCGCCAGACCCGTGGCTTCGTCATGTTTTATTAGGCCCGTGCTCGTCCGGCTAGCTGCGCCCTGGACACACCCCGGTGCACACTGGAGGGACAGCTGGGCTCTCGGGCCCCTGGGTTGGGGGCGGGGAGAGTTGTCACCTTGCATCTATTCGGTACCGCATGATGGGGTCTCGCCTTCCTGCACCCGTAGCTGGGCCTGACCGCGGCTCGGGACCCCAGGATGACGCTCTCCCCAGGACCTCATGGTTGCCCATGGAGCATCTGCCCCTTTTTCCTTTTTTGGCGGCCCCCGACCAGGTTGGACCTTCATTTTTGTCTCAGCCCGGCTGGCCCCATGACTGCATGGCTTACAGCAACAGCCCGCCTCTTTCCCAGGCTGGGGGTCAGGGACCCCCGGGGCCTCATCTGGCTGAGTCATCACCTGGTGTGGAGCAGCCGTGAGCCTTAGGCAGGTGTGCCCCTCCTGAGTGGGGGAGTGTGTCTGGGGCCGGGCCCTTGTGGCCCTGCGGGGACGGCCCCCCGCTGCGTGCCCGGCCCTGACCCTGCCCCGTCCTGCTTCCTCTGCTTCAGGGCAAGGAGCTGCTGGCACAGAAGTTGCCACTGTGGCAACAGGCCTGCGCCGACCCCAACAAGATCCCGGACCGTGCGGTGCAGCTGATGCAGCAGATGGCCGGGAGCAACGGCTCCGTCCTCCCCAGCGCCCTGTCGGCCTCCAAGTCCAGCCTGGTCATCTCAGACCCTATCCCGGGGGCCAAGCCCCTGCCGGTGCCCCCCGAGCTGGCCCCGTTTGTGGGGGTGAGTCTGCGGCCTCCAGCAAGCTTTATGGGTGTGGAAGGATGGCCCCCACGCTTGCACCGGGGTGGCCGGGGTGAGGGGTTCCCACGCCGGCCTCGCCTGACCAGGCTCTCCCGCGACGCCACCCCCCCCCCATCCCCCGCCTCTTCTCCACAGCGGCTGTCTGCCCAGGAGAGCACGCCCGTCATGAATGGCGTCTCGGGCCCAGATGGTGAGGACTACAGCCCCTGGGCCGACCGCAAGGCCGCCCAGCCCAAGACCTCATCTCCTCCACAGTCCCAGAGCAAGCTGAGCGACTCCTACTCCAACACGCTCCCCGTGCGCAAGAGCGTGGCCCCGAAGAACAGCTACGCGGCCAGTAAGGGCTCGGACGTGCCCCCAGCCCCCAGCTGTCACACCATACCCGAGGGGAAGTGGGGGAGGCCTCCCTCAGAGCCCCGAGCGTGTGCGTGCCCTGGTGCGGCCCCCTTGGGCCCCCGGTGAAATCTCTGTCCTGGAGCCTCAGGCTTTGCCTGGCTCCCCTCAAGTCGAACACGATAGGGCGGGGCTGTGCCAGGACATCTGGGCTCAGCCTGTGATGGGAGCACACGGGCGGTGCTTGGCAGGGCTATAAGGGACAGTGGGACAGCCCCCCCTCCCAGCCGGTGAGGGTCTGCTGATGAGCACGTGGGAAAGCTGAGGTCCAGGCCCAGCATGCCCCACAGCTGGTGAGCGGTAGGTCTGCAGCTGGATCCACCTCTGCAGCATCTGGGTCCTGCCCAAACGAGCGTCCCCCTCCAGGCCCGCCTGGGGCCTTCTAGCACCTTCCCGTCAGGCTGAGCCGACAGGAGGACAAGCACGTCCCCTCATTCCTACCCTGTCGTCCCGACAGCTGAGAACAAGACCCTGCCGCGCTCCAGCTCCATGGCGGCTGGCCTGGAACGCAACGGCCGCATGCGGGTGAAAGCTATCTTCTCTCACGCGGCCGGGGACAACAGCACCCTGCTGAGCTTCAAGGAGGGAGACCTCATCACCCTGCTGGTGCCTGAGGCCCGCGACGGCTGGCACTACGGGGAGAGCGAGAAGACCAAAATGTGAGCATCCGCAGGCCGCCCCACTCCCAGCCAGCTGTCGGCCCGGGCCCGGATAGCAGGCCTCCTGACCCTGCGGCCCTCAGACGACCTGGCGGCTCGCGTCCTTTCCAGACTGACTATCCCGCCGTGGGTTTTCAGTCGTCCAATCTCGGCGGCACAGACTGTCTCTCACCAGCCCATCACCCTCACCGCCCGCGTCACCCACTTGGCCCAGAGCCCCGCACGCACACGCCGCGGCCCGTCTGGCACCTACCTTCCCTGCTGTCGGGTGTGCGGCTTCCCAGTTGGCAGAGGCCAGCCGTCCACCCCAGGCCTTCTGCTGCCCAGTCTCCTCTGATCAGCCTGTGTGCTGGGCCATCGGGTCACAGGACCTGTGTCTTCACGGCTTAATTCAACCCCCGTGGCCCCGAGGTTCTGCCAGCCTCTCGTTCTCGAGCCACCGCGGGGCTGCCCTGGTCAGGAGCCGCCCCTTCCCCCGAGCACCACTGTCATCTAGAGGTGGCTGGTGGCGAGATGGAGACTCGCAGCCCCTGCCTGCCGTAGCCAGGGACGGAGGGGCTGGACGCAGCTTGGCTCCCGCCTCCAGGCGGCCGCCATCTGGGGAGGGGGTGCTGAGCGGGGAGAGGCTAGGACACATCCTTCCCAAACGGCACCCCTGCCTGCTCTCCAGACCGCTGCTCTGCTTTGTCGGTGCGGCCGGAAACCGGCCCTGGCTGCCGCGGACGCGGGACCTCTGCCGGCAGCGCCCAGCCTCCCGTCCAGGGCCCGTGTGTGCCCAGGGTGCCGGCTGGGGTCTGCTGTTGCTCCGAGCGCCTGCTTGTGTTCGCTACAGAGACGGCTGCAGCCAGGCTGGGGAGCGGGGGCACCTGGGCCCTGGGGCCCTCTCACCTGTGCTCTCTCCTCCAGGCGGGGCTGGTTTCCCTTCTCCTACACCCGGGTTCTGGACAGCGATGGCAGCGACAGGTTGCACATGAGGTGAGCATGCTGACCCAGGCTGCTGGCCCTTCGCTCTGGAAAGGTTGCCGCGAGAACAGGGCGCTGCGGGTCTGTGAGCCGCACCCGCTCTCTGCTCAAAGGGCTTGGCCGGGCTCTGGTCCCCTCCCGCCCACAGTGCTGCCCCCACACCCAGCATGCTGCGTGTTGAGGTTCCTGGGGGCTGTGGGTGCGGGCCACTTTGTGAGGAAGGTCACCGGGTGCTCTGTGGGGTGGGGCTTCCCTTGCCCCCTCACTGGGCCCGGGAGCACACCCTGCTGTCGCCTCCCTTGGGCAGGGTGTGCGGGGCCCCAGAAGGGGCTGAGCGGCGCCAAGAGGACTGGGGTCGGGGTGGGGCGCACGGGCTTTAGGAATTTCCTGCCGCCGCACCTTCAGGCCCGGTTCCACTGGCTCGGTGAGGCTGCAGCCCCTCGTTAGGCCTTCTTGAAGGGTCTGAGGGAGGCGTGGGGAAGGTGGAGGGTTGGATGGGGTCCTGGGGGCCGGGGTGGAGCCAGCCCCTAAGCCTCTGCCCCCACAGCCTGCAGCAGGGGAAAAGCAGCAGCACGGGGAACCTCCTGGACAAGGAGGAGCTAGCCCTCCCGCCCCCCGACTACGGTGCAGCCTCCCGTGCGTTCCCTGCCCAGGCAGCCGGCACCTTCAAGCAGAGGCCCTACAGTGTGGCTGTACCTGCCTTCTCCCAGGTGAGCGCCGCGGGAGGGGCCCCAGAAGCGGCTCTACTGAAGGCCAAGGTGGTCCCGCTGCCTGGCCTTCCCTCCGGGTGGGGCATCGGTGGCCTTCAGGCCTCCCACCTCGCAGGGGGCCTGGGCATCAGGGAGGACTTCGTGTCCAGGAGCCCCCTCCCTGAGGCTCTTGGGCTCCGGCAGTCACGGTCCGAGTGTGGACATGAGCACTTGCGTTCGAGTCCTGGGATGTGGCCAGAGGCTTCTTGGTAGTGTGTCTCTGGGCCTCGGGAGGCAGGGCTAGGCACTCATGCCCAGGTCACCCAGTACCAAGTGGCCAGAGGCAGGAGGTCAAGGCCTGGGTCCCAGGTGCGGGTCCCCAGTAGAGCCCCTGGAGTGTACGATGGTGGTTTTGAAGCCCAGGTGGGGTCAGGGTGTGAGTGTGGACGGTACGGCTCTGCGTGGGAAGGTTCATAGGTTGTAGGAGCCCGAGGCTTCTGGAACACTTGTCTGCTGTGGCCACGTGGGGAGTAGGGGCCAACAGCTTTGCTCTCGGTTGCAGTCTTCAGGACTGGGCCCCAACTTGGGGGTCAGCGCCCCAGCCCCCGGGAGCGGGGAGAAGGGGAGTTTCTCTAAGATGTGGGCAGCAGGTGCTCACCTGGGTCTCCGCCTGCCCGGGCTGGGGTGAGTGGTGGTGTAGGTGGGTGAGGTCCAGGAGAGGCCCCACTCAGCACCGTCCTGAGCAGCCTCGCCCCCACCCTTCCTGTGAGGTGGGCGTGACCATCGCGAGTGAGGTGCTGTGTGTGAGGGAGCGGTCTTGGAGGAGCTTACAGTTGGGCAGAGACAGTTATGTGGTGGGAAGGACCAGACCGGGGAGGTGTAGCTAAGGCCCGGGACGGAGCCTGACAGGGAAGGTGAGGCTGGTGCTGGTGCTCAGGGCAACAGCAGCGGGGAGGCCGATCCAGCTTGGGAGAGGCGTGGCACCTCGGGGTCATGGGTCCAGCCTGCTGGGTGGGAGACGCTCCAGCCGCGTCCAGCCCCGCCTGGGCCCAGGACACAGCTGGCTGAGCCTAGGCCGGCCTGGGCACTGCACGCTGCTCCCACTTCCCGGCGTCCAGGTTTGGTTTTGGCGTGGAGACAGCCGAGGAGGGTGTCCCCAACGGCCCTTGATGGCCCTAGGCCAGGCCAGCAGAGCTGTGGTGGTGTCCACAGCCCCTCCCTCGGCCCCATAGCCGGGGCGCTGCCGCTGGTGTCTCGGGGCGCAGGGGCATGCTCTGCCCAGGGACTGGCCCAGGCTGGCTTCCCCGCCTGGCCCTCACCCCCTCCCTGCAAGTGTCACTGGTTCCCAGGGAGGCCCCCCTGCCTGCTCCAAGACGTAGGTAATCCCACGCTCGCCTGCCTTGGTGCTCTCATCAGGTGACCCGCAGGTGACCACAGCCCCTGACCGCTCACCACGGGACATGTGCGTGGAGGGGGTCATCGGGGGATGTGTCTTGCTTGTGCCCCTGAGTCTGAGCTCATACCATGCATGGTCTGCCGCTGGCCAGATGAGGAGATGTCCCCGTGAGTTTGGGATGTCACTGCTGTGCACGTGGGAGGGGCCCTCCACGCTCTCGGCTGCAGGCAGTACCGCGTGCCCACTCGGGTCAAGGGCGGTGTGCCCAGCCTCCTCTTGTCCTGCAGACCCCACCTCGCCCCCAGGACCCCCGGCCTAACCTGGGTTGCCTTTCCTCCCCAGGGTCTAGAGGACTACGGAGCGCGGGCTGTGAGCAGGTAAGGGGCTTTCACACTTGTCCTTGGGAGCTGTGGGTGGGTAGGGCCGGCCCCCTCACAGACCCTCCAAGGCCTGCTCCGTGGGGGCCTGGCTGGAGACTGTGGAGGCCCCACGCTGGGTCAGGGCAGGCGGGGCCCAGGGTGCCTGTTCTCCCTACCCCTCACTTGTCTGAGTGCTGGGGGTCCTAGGGCAGGAGCCCACGATCCCAGGGTCCTGCCGAGTGGGTCCGGAGAGCCACCTTCATGCTCTGACCCTGGGTGGGTGGCAGGGGGCCCTGGACCGCGGGAGCGCAGCCTGCTCCGGTGCCCACCGCAGCTGCCGGGGCTCCCGGTCGTCCCGCAAGCCCTCAGCCCGGTGCTTTCCCTGCTCTTCCATCCTGGTGGCCCTCGTCCCGGCTCAGGGTGGGGTGGGGGCTGCTTCCGTCCCTGCTCCGGGGCCAGGCAGCCGGCTGACCGGAGCGGCTGCAGGAGAGGTGTGCGGCCTCGCAGCGTCCTGTGCTTTGTTCCGCAGCGGCAGTGGCACGCTGGTGTCCACAGTGTGAGGACGCTGACCACGGGCAGCCGCTGCTCGGGAGAGCCCCCCCCCAACCTGTCTGGCCTCCATCGGTTCCCTCCTCCGCTCTTGTTGGTTTGTTCTCGGGTTATTTTTCTTTCTCGCCTGCCCTGTCCCGCCTTCTGGTTGGTGACCCCAGACTCTGAGATCCCCCAGGGTCCATGGTGCTGCCCCATCTCTGCCCCCCGTGTTTACACACCCCCAACCCCGTGCGTCCGCCAGGCGGGAGCTGCTGGCCAGGCAGCAGGGGCCAGGCAGCCTCACGTCTGCTCCGCGGCTGCCATGTTCACGACGCACTGTCCCTTTTTGAAGGCTCACCGCGAGCCAGGCCTAAAGTTTGAAGAAAAAGAAAAATCTTAAAAAAAAAAAAAAAAGAAAAAAAGAAAAGAAAAAACAGGAAAAGGACTTTTCTTTCCTGACAAACAAAAGCAGATCTGCATGGACTCTGGTGTGCGTACTGTTACTCCTGCATCTGACTCCCCCAGCGGACACGGACACCTGTGTCAGGGGAGGGGAGGCTCGCGGCCCCGCAGGCGCCCCCTCCCAGGGCCGCACCGACAGACGGGCTCGTGCCAGCCGGGGGGCCTCCTGAGGAAGCCGGCCGCTCCTGTGAGGGAGGCCACGGCCCCCGGCCCCGTGCAGCCCAGCAGCCCGGGCCCCTGAGCGCTTCCTTCTCCGCGGATGCTTGGGCCGGTGTACAGACCAGAGTGTGGGCGGGCAGCGTCCCCAGGGCCGTGTGACCTCACGCGGTGCCAGGCGGGGCAGGGGCAGGCAGGTGCGGCCCCTCGCGGACTTTCCAAAGAGCTCCAGAGACCACCCCCCCTCCAACGCATTCTGGAAACCACTGGACAGCCTTGTGAGGGAACCGTGGCCCCCAGGCCGCCAGGGGCTGGCCCTGGGGAGGGCGGCTTTGCGCCTGCCACCCCGGGGGTGGGGGGGTAGGAGGCAGTCCCTGCCCCCGTCCTCCCTAAACACTCTCGTCTTTTTGTGTGTCTTGGTGACTTCCGAAGCGGACATGCTGGACTCTGCGGCTACTGGTTTGGCCTCTTCTCACCCTGAATCTGGGGCAGGAGCCGGGGTGCAGTCCCGCCCGGCCCCTCCCGCCACGGGAGCCCCTGCCAAGCTGTGGACGCTCCTTTTTCTAACGTGATCTAACAAAACCCTCCACCCGCTCTCCTGTGGACTAGGATGTGGCTGGGAGTGTTTGTGAGAGAAGCAGCTCAAGACACAGACCCATTTTATATTTAAGGAGAATACAAAGCCAGAACGTGGACCCATGTACAAAGAGCCTTCCGTGTTGGTGTTCTAATTTTGCTAAAAGATCTCAAATCCAGGGGATTCCATGCTCAATGGATGAATGTAGACACAAAACTGCGACACTCGTATGAGGATGTAAAGTGCTCAAAATATTTTCCTGTTTCCTTTCCTCTTTTTTTTTTAAATCTGAATTGTGCTCTGTACTGCAGTCGTTTGAATAAAAGTTTTATTTATTGCACTGAGCTGGGTGTGGTGCCTCCTTCCAGGCTCGCTGTGTAGATCTGGGCGGCCTCAGTGAGCCGGCCTCCGTCCAGGGACTGAGCTGCGCAGACGGACAGCGTGGTCACTGTCCTCTCGGGGGCCTGGGCCACGTGGGCTGACTGGGGACGCCTGCCACGGGCAGCCCTTTCCTGTTCCTCCCTGCGGCTACCCCGTGGCAGGGCTGTGTGCCCCTGGCGGGGTCCCCCCACCCACCCACCTGCACCAACAGAGTCCTTGTGTTTCCTTGCAGCGCTGATGTGGAAGTGGCCAGATTTTGAGCTGACCCTGACTAGAGTTAGTAAGTTGCCCTGGTTTTCTCATGCTGGTCAGTCTGCCTTCCCAGTGGTTCTGCAGACCCTCTGGCCTTGGCCCTGGCAGGTGGGGACGGGCACGCGGGTCTGCCGAGCCTGCCTCTGCTCTGGGTTCTGGGCTTTCGCTTCCTCTTGGATTGCTCCTCGGGCTCTGGGATTTCCTCTCTCTGTCTGGAAGCTTGTGGGCCTGACTGGCTGCTCCCCTGCTCTGCTGGGCGTGGTCCGGCCCTGGCCCTCTGCCTGGGTCTCCTGCCTCCGTGGGGCACTTCGGCCACAATCGGGGGAGGCCAGCTTTGGGCTCCTCTGGCTGAGTGTCCCCCGGACTGGCCCCTGTGGGTGTGGGTCTGAGCCCGGCCTGGCCGGCTCTCTGGTTGGTGAGTGCTGCAGCCCCTCGGGGGGCCGGGGAGACCAGGGTCGGTCTTGGGGACAGCTCCGTGGCTCATGCCCACGTGTGTGTCGGGCACACCGGAGCAGGTGGACACGGGCTTTGCCGCCTGCTCTGGCTGGACTCACCTCGTACCTGCCCTGACGTGGCTCCACGAGGCTGCAGCAGGCTTTCCAGACCAGGCCTTCGGCCACCACGTGTGGGTGCCCTGGCTGGCCTTCTACAGCCCGTCCTGTGATGGTCCCTTGCACTCAGCCCTGGGAAGGCAAGCGCCAACAGCGAGCGGGTGGGCGGGGAGCCCAGCACTCTGGGCCCCTGTGCCTGGGACAGGGCGCACTGCTGCGCCTGTCCCCACCCCCACCCAGTCACCAAGAAGTTTGCCCCATGAAGCTAGCACCTGCATCCTCCATACCCCACAGAGCACCCCAGCAATGTGGTCCTCCCCAAGGGCAGTGACTGCCCCAACAGGTCCTGGACTCACTCGCCTTTCAATGTGTCTGAGCTGCAGCGTGAGGAACTTCTGGAAAGTTCTGGAGACAAATGCTCCTGACATTTGGGGACAGGGTGGAAAGGCCTTCCCTGCCTCTAGGTTCCTCCTCTTCCAACAGGCCCTAAGAGGCCTGCACCTCCCAGCCCCACTGCTCCTGCAGCCCCCGTTGCTCTGGAGGCCAGCCTGGCCTCTGCCTGAGCCCTGGTCCCCAGTGCAGGGCAGTCCCTGGCCCCCGGGGGTGCCGTGGGCATCCACACCACGCCACCAGCTGGTTTCCCCGCCAAAGAACCGGCCCAGCCCCGAGACTGGAGATTCAGCGGGGGGTGGAGAGTCAGAAGCCCCTGGGTTGGTTGAGGCGCCCTGGCCCGCTCTGCCGAGCTGCGCCCCGCAAGGTGCGGTCCTGGCGCAGAGCAAGGTGGACTCAACGCCAGGAGGGCCAGAGTCCTGGAGGCATGAGAACCGCTTGTGCCTCAGAGGAGAACATTCCGGAGAAAGTGGACATCTGCCCCAGCTGCTCTCCGCTCCCTCTGCTCCAGAGTCACAGGAGGACAGAAACCGCACTCCGAAACGACTTTTTCACACTCACGTAGTGGACTCAAGACAGTTAAGGCCACTCCCTAAACCTGCGCAAGATTTGAATGGGAAGGTGCTGGGCCTCGGCGCTTGGCCCCCCTCGGGCCGTAGGGTTTGCAGGCAGGGGCTCCGTGGCGCCCCGAAGGGTGGCCCCTGGAACCCAGTACTAGATCTGCCCCCCACGGTGGGGTCGCAGCTCGGGAGCTAGCTGCAGGCCTGCTCCGCTGAGGTAGATCCATTCCCTGTCCGAGGACCTGCTCCGGAGTCCTTGCCGGGGTGTGCTCGGGGGGAGTCGCAGCCGCGCCCGTGGGAGACGCCTGGACGGCTCCTGACTTGGAGCAGACCTGCCATCCCGGGCCTGCTGTGCTCAGGTGGTTCCCGTCGACTGCGCTTTGCTGGCAGGACTCGAGCTTCCTTGTGTCTTGGTGGTTTGTGGTCAGCGTCCGCCGACGGTGCTCTTGGGAGGAAGCCTCTGTCCCTGGCGCTCTCCCCCAAGCAGTGACCCATGTCCGCAGGACCAGAGACTGCGGTGGGCCTCGGGTCCGCATTGTGTCCTGTTGCGTCAGGTCGGTGTTGACCCGCCCAGGGTCACACAGACGCCTGCCCTCGGGTAGCCCTGGAGCCCGCTCTTCCCCAGGAGGTGGTAGGCCCCCGCCTGGGCCGCACCTCCCCGTGGTGCTGCGGGGTGGGCATGCCCCAGCCAGAGGTCTCTGGCCGGGCCCGGGCAGGGGCCGTGAAGGGGAGGCCCGGGCAGAGTTCAGCCCCTGCCCCTTTCCTCAGAACCCGCGGTGTTGATGGTACCGCACTCCACGGTCACGCGGTTTTGGGGAAGGAGATTAGGAAGGTGGGGGTCAGAGGCCAGACACCCTCTCAAGGTGTGGGGGCCTCTCCGGCCCTGCTGCTCCCCCTCCAGCCCCAGCTGATGACGCTGCTTTGCCACCAGTCCTTTCTGATGAGGATTCAGGTGTGCCCAGGGCAGGATCGAGGTGTGTGCTGCCCAAACCCACTTGGCCATTCTGCTCTGGCTCCGCTCAGCACGGGACCTGCCCGCCCTTCTCGGCCACGGGGCCTGTGCCCTTTCCTCTGCTCGGTCCCCAAGCCCAGACGAACAGACCTGCCCCGTTCCAGCCCCCCGAAACATCCTGCCTTGACCCCGGCTGGGGACAGCCACGGGCCTGAAGCCTTCCACTAGAACCAGAGTCTAGTCAAGGTGGCAGGCAGGGCATGGGCCACCCTCCACCCTCTGTCCTGGGGGCAGATGTCCCCGGTCACAGCAGTCTTGGCCTGGGGAGCCCTGAGGCAGCCGCTGCCCCTGACCATCAAAACTGAAGCTCTGCACACATCGGCTGGAGAGAGGACTGGAGCGCGTGGAGGGGCCTGGGGCTGGAAGCGGCCTTGAACCCCGGGGGTCACAGCACTCCGGATCGGAGGACGTTCACAAGCAGCGCACCCTCGCGGGATTCTCGGTCGTCAGCTTGCAGATGTAGAAGCCATGCGCCAGTAGGTCAGCTCCTCTCCCTAGTTTATCCTTTCGAAAGTTCAGTCCGAAGTGTCTCCGCGTTCTAGAAAACAGGCTGGTGCCCCCACCCCCACGTGCTCTCGCTGGGCGCTGCACGGAGCGCCCGCCCACCCAGCTCCTGCGGACACCAGCCCAGCTGTGCCAGAGGCGACTGCGCCCCAGGTAACGGCTCGAGAGCCGAGTGCTTCGCCAGGAGTGCGTCCTGTCCGTGCCGAGCCCCCCGTGTCCCACGTTCCATCTGTGCTGTCACCCCTGGGGCTGCCTGATGACCCCCAGCCCGCTGTCCTCGGCTGTCCCTCCCAAGCCCGGTGGGGACTCCGAGGAGGGGCTTCTGTGAGGCCCAGGCTGGGTGCTGGTCTCTACTGCGCTCATCTCGTCCCATCTCAACCTCTTGTCTGGCCAGTCCGTCTGTCCGTCAGCTGTGGCCTCAGACCTGCGGGCATCGCTGCCCGTGTGCGTGCCCCCCCCGTGTGTCGTGTTGGCGTGGGACGGGCCGAGGCCCCCTGTCTGCAGCCAGCCGCGTTCCGGGACCCCGGGATGCATGGGCCGGGGTCGTGAGAGCTGCTGAGCTGTGTGTGTGTGTCGGCGTGTCTTTAAAAACGGGCCCGCTCCTGCTCTTGGGCGGGTGTCAGGAGCCTCCGGGGCCTTATGGGGCGGCTCACCAAGCCTGGGTGCAGGCCCATTCAGGACCACCTCAGGTTTCGGAGGAAGAACTGGCTCCTGGCCCACCGGGCCGCTCCCCACACCCCCACCCGCCCTGCCCCAGGAGGGCTGACAGCAGCAGGTGGGCGCATCGGCAGGCAGCCGGCCCCGCGGACAGCCCTGCCCCGGCTGTCCCCAGCAGGCTCCATCGCGGCCGTGCTCCGGGCTCAGAGGCTGGGCCCTCCGCGGGGCTGCGGGACCCTGGGGCGCACGCAGGGCAGCCCGGGAGGCACAGCGCCCCTCCCACGCTAAAGCCACTCTTCTCTTCTCTCCTCAGGAATCCCTTCGCCAACGTCCAGCTGAAGCCGACAGTGACCAATGACAGGTCTGCTCCCCTCCTCGGCTGATGGCCAAGTCCCCGCCGCTGCCCGCCAGGCCCCTCTTCTTCTCCTCCCCCACCCACACACACACCTCTTTTGTAACAGTCTGTGTGGTCCCTGTCTAGAGAATGTTCTCCTCCTTCCACGCCCTTCACCTGCCTGGCTCTGCCCCCACTTCAGTCTGGCCTGGGCTGGATCCCGGCCGTTTCTTCGGAGGTGGCCCCTGGGCCGTGGCCGAGGAGAGTGAGTGGGGCCGGCCCCAGAGCTGGGAGCTGCCCCCTGGGCGGTGCGGCCAGCCTCTCAGGCAGGCCCGCCTGGCTGTGTGGGCCGTGGCCCCCCAGGTGCAGGGAAGGGTGTTCGGTCAGCCTGTAGCCGGAAGGGGAGCCCGGCTCCCACACTGCTCGGAGCTCCCAAGTGTCTGGTCAATAAACAGGCTGACCCACCTGTGCCTGCCTGTGATCTGTCGGCCTGAGGGGGGCGGGAGGCCTGGGGCAGAGGAGCGGGGGGAGACCAACACCTTTCTCTGGAAGATGAATTTATTAGGAGCCCTCGACTGGGACTCTGCTGAGCCTCCCCACTCCTGCTGGCAGTTCTGGGGGGCCTCTCTGCCCCTCCCCACCCAAACCCCAGCCTCCCTCCAGAACTGGCTGCGGGGCCCCCAGCTCTCCTCCGCGTCCCTGGAGTGAACAGTGGGTGCCGTTGGCGGGGTGGGGGGTCCCCCACCAGCTGCTTCCACAGTATTTGTGGATGAAATACACTCCTGGTGACCAGCACAGTGACCAGCAGTCCCCATCTGAGGAGCCGTTCCAGGCAGCAGTCACCCCTCCCACCAGGCTCCTGAAGGAGGGGTTCAGCAGCCCTGATCTGACCGAAGTCTGTCCACAGCCCAGGAAGAGAAGCAAAAGGGGTCACTGGTAGGGCAGGTGGGGGCACAGGCCTCTGGCCTCGCAAGAGCTGGGCCAGGTGGGGTCTTAGGGCAGATGTTTGGGGTAGAGATGCACAGAAGCCCAGACTCCTCAAAAACCCTCTTGCCTGCCGCTCACCCTGCCCCCACCCCCGTGCTCTGGGAAGGCGAGGGGCAAGAATGTCCAGGGAGGTGTGTGGGTCCCCCCCACACAGGACAGGAAGAGAGGGCTGCTGCCGCCAGTCCCCTCCCCTCCCCAAGTCACTGTCCCCCCTCCACCGAGGTGTGCCAGGGCAGCTGGGGGGAAAGGGTGGCCGCCCTCTCGCATCCTCCCCTCCCGTGGTCAGGAGGGACTACCGTGCCCTGGGCAGACCTGGCAGCTGAGTCCCCACCTCAGCACCACCCAGGCCCCCTCCTGCCCAGCGCTTTATGTGCAAACCACAAAAGAAAACACACACTTAGCACGAAGGCTTTTTTTTTTCTTTAGCTTGATTTCTTTTAAAAAACAAACAAAAGAGGAACAAGAAAATCATTGCACCAGCATCCTAAGCCTCAAACTAATCAAAAACAAAAAACACAAACCCAAAACAAGTCCCCCACCCACACCCCCAAAGCAACAATAAACTTTACGTCTCTTTGGCAACAATAACTTAAAATCATCCCATTTCCATTCGCTCAGACAACAGCAGTTACAAAAATATTCCCTGTGCTGCCCTGCCCCCCGCTTCCCCCCAGCTCCACTCCTTCCCGTGCCCGCACTCCTGCAGGCAGAAGCCCCTCGCACTGTGGGGGTGCAGCCCCCCACTGTCCTTTCGCGGCTGGGCCGGTCTGGGCAGTGCCCTGGAGGGGGAGCTGGACATGCCAGCCAGCCACAGGCACCTCTAGAACAGGTGTGGCTGGGAAGCCCCCCACCTTTCAGGCTGCCCACCCTGACCCACCCGCCCAGGGTCCAGCAGCGGACTCAGGGGGGAGCTGGCCCAGACCACGCGGGGGAGGGAGAGTGTATGGGTCTAGCCGAGTCAGTGAAGGGAAACACAGCCACAGACTTTGAGGTAAGGGTGGTGGGGGGGGGGGGACACATAAGCCCAGGGTCCTCTTCTTGCATTGAGCAAACCCAGAACCAGGCAGAAGGGGCGAAGGGGGCAGAGAGGGGCCGTCCCAGCAGGCCTGTGCCCATTCTCTCACCTGGGGTGAGGACACAGTGTCCTGTAACTCCCCACACGAACTGGTGGGCAGGGCATGCAAGGCCCCCCAGCCAAGAGCAGGTCCCCTGGCCTCAGAAGCCAAGCAGCCCGTTAGCAGGGTCAGGGTGGAGGGGCAGCTGTAGGGTAAGGAGCTGCTCAGGCCTGAGGCTATAGGGCATCCCCAGCAGCTAGCAACAAACCCGAGCGTCCAGGGTAAATCCTGCCGCTGGGGCTTACAGGGCTGCCCCACCATCCGGTGCAGAGGCCTCTGGTCCTGCCCTGCTCCTCCAGAGTGCTGTGCGGGGCACCAAGGCGCTGGAAGCTGCTGCCGACCACCAAGACCAAGGTCCCCGCTCTCGGTCACCATCCTCGCTGGGAGCAGGACCAGCAGGGGCTCCAAGGAGGCCCACCTGGGCCTCAAGCCTCTTTACAGCTGCCCCCAGCACCTGCTACAGGGCCTGGCAAACAGGAGGGGCCACATGAGCATTTGGAGAGACACCGGGGACAGAGATTCCTGAGAGTCCCCTGCCCCAGGACTCCCACCTGACCTCCGTCCTTGGCCAAGGGGCCAAATGACCAGCTGGAGCTGCAGCCCTCGGGCCCCTTCACTGCAACGGGCCTGCCCATCTGTCTCCGTGGGAGCCGCACCCATTTCTCTCCCCACCGCTTCACCAGAGCCCAGGCCTGTCCCTCAAGCCCAACAAAACCCAGCAAATGCCCTCTGAGTCCTCCTTTTAGAGGTGGGGAAACTGAGACCCAAACAGGACCACAAACGAGCCTCCTGGTGGCCTGCTTATCTGTTCAGGCATCTACTAAGGGTACGCTGTGTGCCAGCGATGAGCGGACGGGCCCTCCCCAGAGGCTGCAGCCACAGGCCATGGGGAGTGGAGGAGGGACTGAGTCCGCCCGGGGGACAGAACGATCTTGTTCTGGGTGAGCTTCCAGAGAAGCGTCGCAGGGATGCAGGGACGCACGCCTGTCAGGCACGTGGTGGGGGGCAGCCTGGCGGGGCAGCGCCCGCCTGGCCTAAGGCTCACGGGAAAGGAGCAGGGAGGGAGGTGTGAGCTGGGCCCCTCAGCCAGCCCCACCTGTGCCTCCAGGCAAGTGCCATGGGATCTGCGAGGGGCCGGGTCGGGCAGTGGGTGAGTCCAAAGCGCAGGCTGGGAAGGTTCCGGTGGCAGAGGCTGCTCAGGTTTGTGGGGGCTAAGGTCTAGCAGAGGGCAGAGTGGGGGGGCACTCCGGGTCCAGCCTGGTGCCTCCAGAGGAGAAGAGGGTGAGGTCTAAGGGCCAGGCCCCAGGGCCCCGACAGGTGCTGGGCCAGCCACTGGCGGTGGGGGGAGGCCCCTGCATCTCCCCAGAAGGCGGCCAGGACAGACAGGCCTGGGCGTGACCCGACCCCGCCGTACCTCAGTTTCCCTTTCTGAAAACCTTGTCCAGGAGATGGGAAATAATGAGCGCCGAGCCTGGGCTCCCGGCAGGTGACCTCCCGGCCGCCCTCTCCACTGCCCCGCCTCGGTGTCCCCTCCCGCCAGCCCCGCCGCAGCCTCACCTCCCACGGACCCGGCGTCCAAGTCCGAGACGTGCGTAATGGAGAAGCGGGACGCGGGCGCGGGCGACACGGTGAAGCGCGAGAA